CTTCTGGCTGGGACTGGAAGGCCCAGTGAGGACAGAGGTTGCTTCCACGGGGAGAGCAGGGCAGGGTCATGTCGGGGGAAGGGCTGCCGTCGGGGCGGCCGCTGAGGTGCCGGGAGAGGCATCTGCTGGGGTCCGAACGGCCGTGTCCCCCTGCGCCTCCCCAGGTGTTCCTGCATGAAGCCACCGTGCGCCTGATGGCCGGAGCCAGCCCCACCCGCACCCACCAGCTGCTGGAGCACAGTCTGCGCCGGCGCACCGCGCAGGGCACCAAGCACGGTGAGTCGGCCGGCGACCCAGCTCTGGGCCTGAGCCCCGGGGGTAGCCCCACCTGCAGTGTTCTCGGAGGCTTGGTTCGGCGGGGGGCTGCTGGGGAGGAGCCGGGAACGCTGTAAAGCTGCGGCTTGGTGGGGTTGTGAGTCTAGCCTCAGGAGCGGGGAGATGTTGTCCCAGCGCTGGGGGGGGGGTGTCCCTGGAGCCACACTGCATGGGGGGGGGCGTCTCAACCCCACCACCGAATACTAGCTGCGGGGTACTAGCCACGATCCTCCGTGGTCGTCCGTGAACCAGGGCGGGCACCGGAGCCCACCTCACTGGGTGGGCCTGAGGTCCCATAACGTGCTCACAGCAAGCCCTTGGAACAGCCCCTGCGTCCTGGAGGGCTCTCGGTGACTGGCCCCCCCACGTATCTCGCCCTTCCCGCAGGAGAGGTGGACGCCTGGCCCGGCCAGCGAGAGCGGGCCACCGCCATCCTGCTAGCCTGCCGCCACCTTCCGCTGTCCTTCCTCTCCTCCCCGGGTCAGCGGGCGGTGCTGCTGGCTGAGGCGGCCCGCACCCTGGAGAAGGCGGGTGACCGGCGCTCGTGCAACGACTGCCAGCAGATGATTGTCAAGTTGGGGGGCGGCACGGCCATCGCCGCCTCCTGACCCCTGGGCTCTGCCCACCACAGCCCGCTGCCTCCTTCGCCCTCCTCCCTCTGTCTCTTGGTCTCTCGCCCTGCTCCCTCTGGGAGTTGTGGGATGAGCCTTGTCTCCTGAGCTGTTGCCTGCTGAGGCTGGTCGACCACCTCAGCCTGGTAGGCCCCTGGGCCGAGCCCCCCAGAGCTGCTGTGGAGAGCTGCCCGGGGCCGGCAGAGGAAAGCCAGGGCAGGGCAGGCATGAGGAGCTCCCTGACTTGAAAGCAGCGGGTGGCTCCCAACCTGCTTGGCCCCTGCCTCCAGCCCTCAACCCTCCCCAGCTCTTCTCTCCCCGAACACCCCCCTTTCCTGCTTCCTGGTTTTTTATCAGGCTTTCCCCGTGGGGGACATAGGTCTCTGGGCACCAGAGCGCTTCACCCTTGGCACTGTGCCCAGCTTGCCCCTTCCCCCTTTTTATACAGATGTTTTTATATCCGTGTGCTTGGGTTTGCCGTGATGCAGGGCTGAGTTGCTGTGGCATCTTTATTTCTCTCCTTGGGTCTGTGTCCCCTCCCCTGTGCCTGACAAAGTCAGTTCATTGTTTTCTCTTTATCACACAGGACAGCCAGGGAAGGAGGGGAGCCCCGCCCTGGGGTGGCAAGTGGGAGGCAGGGGGCCGGCCTGGGGTTGGGTGAAATAATGTCGGTATTATTTTTTAATTTTTTAAAAAATAAATGGTATCTTATTTAATTGTCCTGTTCCTTCCCACTCCCCCACCCCCTGGGATGTCAGCCCAAGCTCAGGGTAGGCCCAGGGGGCTGGGAGACATGAAGCCACCCAGCGGGACTGAGGACCAGGGGCCTTCAGTGCGGGTTCTCAGTTCCCTCCCACCCCAACTCCTTCCTCCAACTCCCATCTCCAGTCTATTTTTATCCCTAATTCTGGACCTGGAAATAAGCCAGGGTGGCAGGGACCAACCCCCAATCCCTCCCCATCCCTTTTTGGGGCGGACACTAGGAATAAGGCCCCCTGCCTTGACGGGGGTCCTGGGAGGAAAAGTCCCACTTTTCTGGATGCCCCCCCCCCCCGCCCCGGGTTGGTGCCTCCCCTGAGGCCATTTCTAGCAGGACCCAAGGACTGCCTGAGACCCCAGAGCCTGCTGTGAGGCTGAGAGGGGCTGCCTTCCCTCCCCGCCTGTGCAGGGGCCCCAGCACAGACTGGGGAGGTGCACGTAGTGGGGGCTCCCCCTGACACCAAGTGCAGGCTGGAATGGCTCGGCTTGGACCCTACCCCCTTTCTGTCTCTGCTGCCCCTCCCCCCACAGACACTGTCATTTGTGGCCCCTGCCCTACCCCACCCCCCATGAGCCAGCCCTTGTGTCATGTGTATATACCGTGCCTTTTCTCATTATTGTTTTAGGGGTGGGAGGGGGTGGTTTTTCACGGAAAAGGGGCTACACTTACGGCTTCCTTGATATGGAATCATTCACTGTGTCCTGGATGTAGTTACTCAATAAACACAGATTGGTACCACCCAGCAGGAGGCGTGTGAGGGTCTGTGGTGTGACCGCCGTCATGACTAGGTGGCTGCGTGGCTTGGCTTCTGGGGGGTCAGGGACTGAGGACAGCCCCTCCCTCTCTGCTGAGAGGCCCCTGGAAGGTTTCAGTCGGAAGGACCTTCCTCCCCGACCCACACCATCCCCTCCCTTCCGCCGCCACTGCCAGGACAGAACCTGGGATAGAAGGGCAGCCCGAGGCGCTGCCGGAGGCCGAGGTCCCTGTATCCAGGACACAGCTGGCTGCTCACAGCAGCGGGGGTTTTGGGTTTGGGGTGCTAAGCCCGTGTGTGCTCACCCCTCAAAGATAAATCTCCCCCCTACTGGGTGGGCTGCCCCTTAGTTTCCCCTTCCTGGTCCGCCAGTCACATCCAAGTCCAGCTCCCGTACTTCCCAGCCGGGTCACCTGGGGCAGGACCTCACCCCGCTGCACTTACATGTGTGCGCAACAGGGTTGACAGTCCCCACCTTTGACCAAGTCCCCGTAGACCTGTTGGCGGGTTTCAATGATACGACACACAACAAAGTACCGGTTAAGTACCTTAACTTGTGCGGTGGCTGAGGGCAAGACCACAGGCAGCAGTGGGCAGGAAGAGGAGCAGTCTGAAGTGACCTGGGGATGAGTCTGGGGCGGGGAGAACAAGGTCTGTGACCTGGCCTGGCTGAGAAATGAGTCACAGCAGGCCACACTGTCCCGAGGGCCAGGGCAGCCAGGAGGGGCCCAGCTGCAGCATTTCCGGTGGTGGCCCTGCCTGTAGCCTCAGCCTGGCCCCCCCTGGGATGGAGATCTAGGGTCCTCGGGACTGAAAATGAACAGGGGTTGCACCCACCTGTCAGGGCCTGTGTCACCAGGGTGGGTGGCTGTGGCCGATGTGCCCAGGAACCTGATCCTCTTGTGAGTCTCTGCAGGCTCCATGACTCAGCACCCACCCTCCTCCCCCGGCTCTCTACACAGCTGCAGGATAGGCCCAGGACACCCCACCCCCAGTTGAGGGTGTGAGGACTGTCTCCCCCACCAGCCATAGGGGTCCTCACTGCAGGCAGGACCACGGACTCTTGGCTCTGTTCTGTCCTGTGGCTTCTGGGCCTTGGATTCCTCAAAAGCCAGAAGAGTGAGGGGGGGGCCCTCCTCCAGGTGAAGAGCTGGGGGCTGGGGGGCCTCAGGGCAGCCCTGCCGGGAGGAAGATCTGACACTGCCTGTTCCTGGGGAGCAGCACTGCCCCACCCCACCCCTGCCGGGACACACATTCAGACCTTCCTTCGTCCCCAGACTGCCCTGCCTGCCATTCATCAGATTCACAGTTGCAGAAGACAGAAGAGTCCTAAACTAATCAGCTGGGTGACCTTGGCAAGTTACTTAGGTCTCAAAACCTCAATTTCCTCATCTATAAAGGCACACACCCATGGAGCTTTTGTAAGGACTAAATAAAAGCAGCAACAGATGGTGACCATTGTTATTAAAACAGTATACGATGCCTAGGGTACACAGGAGGGAAACTGAGGCCCAACTGGGCGGCTTTGTTGATGTCACACAGTGAGGGGCATAACCCAGACCTCAACCTCCCCAACCATCCCTGGTACAACAAAACTCATACACCCAGGCTGCTGGCAATGCCCGGAGACACGGCTAGGTACCCGGAGCCTGCCTGGCAGGAAGCGGAGAGCTGGCCCAGCCGAGCATGTGTGAGCTCCCCGCAGTGGGGGCACTGCCAAGGCTCGATGTCCAGCATCCCCATTCGCTTTACCCCCAGAGCAGCTACTGGGAGGAGGCTCCCCCATTCTGAGCACCAGCTGTCCGCTTGGCCCACTGCCCACACCCATTAGGGGGGTGGCCCTGGACCAAGCCGGCCAAGTGGCCTGCAAGCCAGGTGCCGGCTCAGGGCCAGATTATGTCAATGAGTATCAGCCCGGCTCAACCAACTCAAGATGTAGAGTGAGTGACTGGCTGGGGGCGGGGGCTCACCTCCAGTAAGGGGCATGGACCCTCCAGGGGGCCTCAGGCTCCCAGATAGCCCTCTCCCCTGTGCTTTGGAGCCTCGAGATGGCTGGGGCGCAACTGCCCCTCTCCCATGGCTCCCACTGGTGCGGACATTAAGCTTGGCATTCAACCCTGACTACCCTCTCCAGCCACTTCTCCCTGGCTCCCAGAACGCTTGCCGGCAGCTCTCGGAGCAGTCCTTTGCTCTTGCACATGCTGTGCCCTCTGCCCGGACCGCCGTCTGTCCAGTCAATGACCAGTGCCTCCACCATCAGTGCCTCTCACAGCCAGGCCGGGGCTCCTTTATTGTCAGGGATGGGAGCCACAGAAAAGGCTTTATTTACATGAGGAACCCGGGCCCTAGGGCCCCGAGAACAGAACCACTGGCCTTCCCCAGTGGGCCCCTTCTTAGCCCTGCAGGCTCCAAGGCCCCAGTCCAGTTTGGGCAGGCATAAGGAAGGGCTGGCCTTCCACGGCCGGTGCCCCTCCTCCCCTGGAACCGGCCCAAGGCGCCCCCCAGGCAGACGAGGGCCCCAGGAGACGCGAAGGCTCGGGAGAACCAGCGGGCCGCGTCTTCACACGGTGACCTCGGCTTTGCTGTTGGTGCTCAGATGCCGGGGTCCGCGGCTCGCGCTGCCATAAAGGCCAGGGGGCTGCGGGCTGAAGGCCTCGGGCAGCTTCTCCACGCTGAACTGGCGCCGGGGCGCGTGGCCGGGCCGCCGGGGTGCGGGGGAGGCCTGAGCCGTCAGGTGGCCGCGGGGGGCGGGCCGGGCCTGGCGGCCGGCGATCCAGGCCTTGTAGTGGCCGGACGGAGCGAGGCCCACGGGGGCCGCGTAGCCCGGCGGAGCCCAGGGGCAGGCGTCGAGCAGCGCGGGCAAGTCCTCGCGGGGCCGCGCAGCCCGCGCCGGGAGGGTCCGCGGGGCAGGTTCGGTGGCGGGAAAATGCTGGTAGAAGTCCTGTGGGGTGGCTTCTGCGGGGACAGTGGGGGCGAGCCAGGGAGCAAGGTCAGGCCCCGGGGGCGGGGCCCCAGCGACTCGCGGGATGGGGTAGGGAGAGGCCAGGCCGCAGGGGCGGGGCCTCAGCTTCTTTGGGCGGAACGGGGCGGGGGTCAGGCCTCGGGGGCGGGGCCTCAGCGGCTCGGGGGCGGGGCAGGCCGGGGACCCGCCGCGGGAGACGCGGGTCTCCACGCCCGGGGCTCTGGCTGCCGCGGTGGGGGACCAGCCGGGTGGCCCGGTGAGGGGACGGGAGGCCGAGGCGCGGGAGCCGATTGGCTGCGTAGGCGCGATACAGAAGCTGGCTGGAGCGCGGACCCGCAAGGCTGGAAACTGTGGAACTGGAACGGGGACCCTGAGCCTTGTGATCCAGGAGCTTGGATACCCGGGGTGCAGCGCCCGGCGCTCCCCGCACAGGGCTCCCCGGCCACTCACCTGCGGCCTTGGGCGCGGCTGCCTTGAGAGTGGGGTACTTGGCGTAGTCGGGCTGCAGCGTCATGGTGCCACCGCCCTGCAGCCTGGGGCCACGCAGGGGTCCCGGTGTTGCTGACCCCAGGGGCACGTTGTTGGGGCGCTTCTTGTCTGGAGCGGGGAAAGGGAAGGGGAGACCCGGCCTGCTGACGGGAGGACACTCTCCACCTGCACTAGCACTCTTCCCTGTCTTCACCCAACTGCAGTTCAGCGAGAGCTCTTGGCGGGGGCTACTTGAGGGAGACTGAGAGAGGAACCTAACTTGACAGAATCTCCGGGCCTAGAGCAAGGGGCCTGGCTCCGAGTAACATGAATGACAGCAGGCTGCCCTGAGTGGGTGCTAGCCCAATGGATGACTCCCCAGCATGTCCAGCTTGGGCCAGGCACTGAGTCCCAGGACCTGCTTCTCAGGAGACGGAGCTAACGTTTGAGCCCGTTAGAACCCACAGAGGGGAGGAGAGAGGGCTTGCTGTGAAGCCTGCCTCACCCGCAAGAAGCCAAGAGGGAGGCTCCAGCCTGGAGAAAAAGGCCCAGAGGGGTCCACAGGCTGGTGCCAGGCAGAACCCCCCACCACACACACACACCCCAGCACGGAGCCAAGGCCTAGCACCACAGCCTGAGCCAGGGAACCCTGAATCTGGAACCTTCCTCACGGAGTACCTGTGACTGGAAGTTGCAGGACACCTCAACAGGTCTCCCTTCACCAGAGGAGCTGACCGCCTTGGCCAGCCCCCACTCGCACACCTGCAGAGGCCGGCAGCTCATTCCAATTGCGAGACAGTCAGCTAAGAGCCTCTGCCCCCCTGAGCACACACCTTCCCCTGCTCCCAGGCCCACATCAGACAAGGGAGTCCCTGTGCTGTAGATCGACCTCTGCCGGTCCCCCAGCTTACACACCTGTGCTGTTGGGGGAGCCCCGGGGGAGGCCATCACCCATCTGCACCTGGACACAGCTACCCAGAGGTGGGCCCAGGGGTGGGGGCAGTGGCTCCTGGGGGTCCGGCTGCTTCAGAAGTTCTGTGAGTGTCCTGTGGGGAAAGAGGCATGAGAAGCAGCCCTCCCGACCTCCTGCTTCCCCACTGGCCAGGCCCTGGCCTATCTAAGGCCAGCAGCCACCACTCTGTCACCCTTTCGACCTCTCTGGGCCTCTGCCCTGCGGTTGATCTTACACATCTAGTTTCCACATCTGGTTTCCCCAACCTGGCCACTTCCAGAGCAGGTCAGGAAACTCTAATGGGGTCACGTGTGGTCAGGACTACCTTGTTTTTCAAAGACTCCCCCGCTCCCAGAGTCCATTCTCCAAGACCCATCCGAGTCGAACCTCCTCTCCCAGTGAAAGCTCTGCAAGTGTATCAGGCCCCTGGACCGGGCTTGTGCTGTTCCCTGTGCCGACAATTTTCCTCCATCTCCTTCCACAAAACTCCTACTCACTCTTCAAACCCCACCAGAAACCCTCCTCTTCCAGGAAGGCTTCTTTACCTGCCAGTGTAACTCCCTTCCCGCAGCAGGGGCTTCTGCTGGGCCCTGGGACAAAGCTGCCACACAGCCATGGAGGGGAGGACAGACAGATAAGGGGAGGGAGGAGCCAGGAGATCCCACAGCATCCAAGACTATGTGACCTTGGGCAGCCACCTCCCTGCTACCAGGACACCCAGCCCCACCCAGGTGTGACAGCTTCTGACTGAGCTTTCCCTGCAGACAGCCAGACCCAGCCTCCAGCCCAGCTGCCTTTGGTGCTCAGAATCCATGATTTTCTTCTGGCGCAGTCTGACCCCTCCCTCCTTCTGGGGCTGGGGCCTCAAATGGCTGAAGCACCAAGAAGCGCCCTGGAGGTGAGCCCTCTGGGGTAGGTGCTGTTTGGCTGCAGTGTGGCAGGACGTGAATGCCTGCCTGAGCTGATCTTCATGCCCTGCCCGCTCCTCCGCTGCCCGCCCCGGTGGTCCCAGCTCTGCGCCAGCACCCATCTGCCACTTCTCCCAAACACCTCAGTGATTTTCGTGCCTCTGGGCCTCTGCACAAACTTTCTCTAGGGACAGACTCCAGCTCCCCTCCAAGCCCTCTGAGCTTGGAGGGGAGCTGACCATCAACCTCAACACAGTGGAATTAAGGCTGAGACTCCGGGGGAGGCGGGGCAGGGGTTCAGCACACACCCAGACATGAGCTTAAGTTGGGCTCCAGATCTCCCCAAAGGAGAAAATAAAGGGCACATGGCAGCTGAAGCCCAGACAGAGGAAGGGACAGGCCTAGGCCACACGGCACATCACGGGTGGGCCAGCTCGTCCTGATGCATCACCAGGCCTGCTTCCCCGCCCCCTGTGGGTGAAGTAGGCTCTAGGGGAACGTGTCAGCTAGGTGGCCCAGCCTAGAGGTGTAGACACCTTCATGGCCCTCAGCTCCAGCGACTCCACTCTAGTCAAGGACGTGCCCTGACTTCTCCTCCTTGCCCAGCCCGAGGGACTCCAAGCTCAGGATCTGCCCCCACGGCATCCAGGACCCAGGATGAGAGCCTCCACATCACCAAGGCAGCACAGCGGCTGAGCCCAGGGTCCCACTCCCAGCTCTGCCCTGCAGCTGTCCGGGAGACGGGGGTGCTGCGGAGTGCCCGGGAAGCCCTCATCCCCTGCCCCTGAAGTCTAGGAGGCGGGAAGCCTCCATACCTGGCCTACCCAGGCATGGGGGCATCTCTATTGTCACCTCTAAATACCAGCCTGTCGCACACCCAAGGGAGCCCAGACCTGGGTGAGGAGGGCACAGGCCCCAGTACATGGGGTGGCTGGGGGCATGTCAGCGTGTGAGTGTGGGGGTGGGCGTAGAGTTCCAGGGTGAGGACACACAATCCCAGAGTCCCCATTCGAGCTAAGACCCCACTTGTAGACCCCACTTCACACAAAGCTCAGACTCAGCGAGCACCTGTCCTGGCCTCAGCAACAATGAATTTGTGTCCCCCACATTTCCAGCGCCTTCCTACACAGGGAGAGACCCTGACCCTTGTCTGGGATGGGGTGGGTTGTGTATTGAGTGGAGCGGGTGGGAGGAGGCCTTCTCCCCAGGGAAAGAAGGTCAGGCCTGAGTCACAGCTATGGGGGTGGGGTGGAAGGCAAGTGGAAGGGTGGGGGTAGTGGGGAGAGAAGCCGGAGGGGAGAGACCCAAGAGAGCTACAGAAAATGCCCCTTCCCTCCCTTCCTTACCGTGGGGGCCTAAGACACCCACCGCTACCTCAGCCTACGCCCCCACCCCGCACTAGTGGGCCCAGGCCCCCTCTCTTGGGTGCGCGGTCTTTGTGTCCTCTGTCCGGGGCG